TTAGACTGGATCTAAGGAAGAAATTCTTTCCAGTGAGGGTGGTGAAACCCTGGCAGGGGTTGCCCCGAGAGGGGGTGGAGGCCCCATCCCTGGGACCATTCCAGGCCAGGTTGGCCGGGGCTGTGAGCAACCTGATGTGGTTCAAGGTGTCCCTGCTCCTGCAGGGGGGTTGGGCTGGGTGGGCTCTGGGGGTCCCTTCCCACCCAAACCATTCTGTGATTCTATAAGACTAACACGCACACAGACTGTCACGTAACCTTCCTTCCCCCACCTTTTACTCCCAGCTGTAAGTGCTACACTTCAGGTGGAGCCAGAAATGGCAAAGTCTTGCATAATGGCACAGCAAGAGACTTATCCCGGAAGATTTCAGGTGCCTTTTACAAAAAAGAGCAGTGAAACGTTGGCGATGTGAAAGGTCGAGATCATCTTTGCTCTTAAATTCCTGCCAGAAGCAAGGCACGCTGTTTCAGGGATACGAAATCCTTTGCACACAGTGTCTCTAATGTGAGCGACCACACCAAGGTCGTTTAAAGCACAAGTGAAAGGATAAAGTTAAACAAAGCTGCTGTCACGACTGCCAGGAGATATTTTAGACCAGATAAGAGCAGAAATCAAACGCAGACTAAAGTGGCTTTTCAAGACACTCCCACCCTGAGAGCCAAGAGCCTGGCAGAGCCTCGATCATCACTTACAAAGCTGCGACATCGGGGCAGGACCTGGAGCCTTATTCCGTAGCACAGAAGCCATCCCAAGTATCGCTGAGGTATCGCCTGTCCTCTGCAAGGTCACGGCCGTCTCTCCCCTCCTGGAGGCCCTAAGCTCAAGCTGGGCAGGCGGTGGCTTCTCCAGAACTGGTTCTCCTCGTGCCGGAGGTGCCCCGCAGTGCCAAGCCAGCAGCGAGGCAGCTCTCATCTCCCGGGGCAGCCCCGCAGAGTGCCGGAACCCCACCATCACCCTTTCCGTTGGGTAATTTTAATTTAATTTTAATCTAAACAAGGTCCACGGAGGGCCCAGCAACCCGTCTCCGAAGCATAAGGACGGGGCGAGCACGCGGTGATGCTCCCCCTGCACATCCTCCAGACTTCCAGAGCCGGAGGGGGAGGTCTGCCACCCACAGCCCTCGGGGCCAGAGGAGCCCAGAGCTGGGGAGGGCAGAGAAACCCAGCACAAACCCTGCAGCAGCCCCGCCACATCCCATCACCTGGCTCTGGACTCGGCTCCCGCAGCTTGATTTGAAATTTAAGCAACGCAGGCAGGGCTGGAAACTTACCCACGATGTTTGGGTGCTGGAGGTTTTTCAAGATCTTGGCTTCATCGTTCAGTCTCTGCTGATAGACGTTTTCCTTGCCGCCCTTGCATTTGGAATAAATTTTCTTCACGGCCCAAGGGGAGCGAGACAAACCTCTGGGAGATCTGCACGGGCAAAGCCACACAGCTCGGGACCGCTCCGTCTGTAAGCGGCACCGCGGTTTAAAGCTCGCACGGGTTGATGGGGAGCTATTCTGGAGAGCGTCTGCCTTTGTTTTGGGGAATTAATGATAAACGAGGTTAAAAGAAACTGAAGTTTGCTAATGTGAGCACGGCAGAGGCGTGTGGTGACGCTTCGCCCGTGTACCGGGCTCCTCCATCAAATTCTTGAGCATTTCACAACAGGGATTGTATCGATGCTCGTTTTCAGGTGGAGGAGCGGAGGCTCGGGGAGGGAAGCAGCTCGCCCAGCAGGCCAAGACAGAGCGAGGAACGGAGCCCAAACGCCTGAATTTCAGGCCAGGGAACGGCTGATGGGGTTATCCCAAAACGCCAGGCTCCTTCCCAGCACCAGGGACAGCTGTGACAAACCATTCCGTGATTCAATCGCTTTCCCTCCCCTATATTATTCCTAGAGGAACACAAAGATGCCAAGCCTGGTTCCCACCTGCGCTCTCGCCCCTACCTTTTCATCAAGTAGACATTGACCCCAGTGCCGGATCCAAGCTTCTGCATGAAGGGAGAGGCTGGGATAGTGACAGAAACAAGCCCCCCATCTAAAAAGAGAAGAGAAACCCAGGCCCATCAGTCTCTGATGTTCAAGCCTGATCTTAGGTGCAGCTTTTTGGTCTTGCCTACCCTCTGGGTTAAGCAACTGTAGCGGGTTTGGCTGGGACAGAGTTAATTTTCTCCACAGCATCTCGGAGGGGGCCCCATTTCGGATTTGCGATTAATACGGTGTTGATAACGCAGGGGCAGGTTTTTTTGCACAGCCTCAAGGCCTTTCTGCTTCTCCCACTGTTGGTCAGGGGGGGTACAAGGAGCTTGGAAGGGACATGGTGGGGACAACAGACCCCAAATGCCAACAGGGACATCCCGGACCATATGATGTCGTGTTCAGCAATAAAGCTGGGGAGGAGGAGGAGAAAGAGGAAGGGGGGACATTCGGAGCCATGGCAGTTGTCTTCAAGTCAGTGGGGAGGCCCAAACACCCGCGGGCCGATGGGGAGCGGCGAGCGAATTCCTGAGTTTGCTTCGCTTACGCACCCAGCTTTCGCTTCACCGATCGAACCGGTCTCATCTCAACGCATGAGTTTTTTCGCTTTTACCCTTCCGATTCTCTCCCCCATCCCGCTGGGGGGAGCGAGCGAGCAGGGCCGAGCTGCCCGCGGGGGTTAAAACCACGACACCCGCCCCACAGGCTGGTTTGACACCCGTGGCAAAGCCTTGGGTTTCCCTGTTTAGGGCTCACACCTGAACGCGACTGACTGGGCTTCTCCTTGGGGGCCGGGCTCTTTTCAGACTTGAAGGCTTCCATCGCCACAAACCGTTCCGATGCCTGCGACAGAGGAGAGGCTTAATGACACCTCCACCCCCCAAAAATGCCGGAGGGAAGCCTGGCACTGGTGCCCCAAGGGAATCGCAAGCGATGCGGCCCCAAGGGGGGGCTGGCAGGGGGGTGGGAAGTGTCCCCAGCGTGCTCCCACCAGGACGGGGACCCTCCAGCCC